AGTTGGACGCTTGAATATACTTTCAGGATACTTCAAAGAATTTAGGCGTTCAAAGAGAAAACACTTGGATGTGTACACCAGCAAATACCATCAATTGAGCTTGTGTTAGCAGAAAAGACAAAAACGATATCATTGCAGATTAAAGTGAAGAGCGACTGGTTTTAGACTATATGGTTGTATAAATTTAAATTACGTTATAGAACATCATATCGTATCATAAATGGAGAATCCCATGATTTTCTCAGTCGAATTATTTGAAGATTCAGGATTTTATTATCCAGTATTGTATGTGGATGTCACCTAAAGGTGTTTTTTTTCCCTTCCTGATGAAACAGCGGCCGAGCGGTAAAGTCCTGACACTCTAGTAGTTCGGTCCGAGGTTTGAATTCCGCGAACGGGCTGGCTGCATGGGCGTTTTCATGGTTTTCCTCATGTGTAACGTGTATGCGAGCCAGTTTTCTTAGAAAGTCCTCCATGAAGGCATCCCTCTTCTTAGGCAGATAGCCCTATTGTGCTTTGTCATAATTAAATAAACCAAAACCTCTTGATGAAACCAGTCTTTCCTTTCATCTCATACCTTCAAAATGTTTAGCCTCTAAAGACTGATAAAGGCTCTTACGAAATACTTCGTGAAGAACTTTCTAAGGGAAACCAGCTGTCACACACGGTACACATGAGAAAATCCACGAAAACGCCCATGTAACCAGCCTGTTTACCGGGTTTCGAACCCCGGAGTGAACTACCAGTGTTCAGCGACTTTACTGCTCGACCGTTTGTGGGCCTTTATGAAATGGAAGGCGATAACTTTATTTAAAATGATTGTCAGAAATATCAAAATATTTCGAAAAGTTGGATGCGTTTTAATATACTTGCAGAATGCCTAAAGAAAAAGAGCAAGAATAAAGTAGAATGCCTGAAGAAAACGAGAAGAAAAAACAAATTTTTGCGTAAAATTTAGTATTAGTATTTTTTTTTTTTTTTTTTTTTTTTTTAAATTTAAAACCTTTTAATCTTTTGATATTTGATTCTTGCGATTTCAAAAATAAAATATGTGACTAAAATGTGAATAATATTTTAAGAAACCAAATGTAGGATAAAATTGTATAAAGCAATGGGCACAATGATAAAACTGTTTAAAGCAATGTATGCAAGTCATCCTAAGTTAAAATGTCGATTATACATCTCTCTTATTTATGTATATCTTTTCTGAATGGAACATTGAAATGCGTGTTAACTGTGCTTTACTGTATTTTCTCTTTTAATATATGCAGTTTTCAAATGCATCGTAGTCTGGGTTACAAAGTATTCTTCCGAAAGAAACGCAATTCAAATAAATAAAATCAAATTCTGTAAAATTTATATTAATAAATATATTTAAAATGCTCAGTTCGAAGGAATAAATAGAAAATTTTAAAACAATTATCTGAAGAGACAATGAAACACAAGCATTTAAAATAAAAGTATAAAAATTTAAAAATAACCTAAAATAATAACTATGACAAAAAATATATATAAAGAAAACTATTTGAAAAAAAAATAAATGCTGCACCTTTATTTACACAGTTCGAATAGGTAAATAGAAATTTTTAAAACAGTTATTCGGGGGGGGGAAACATGCAACCTAAACAATTAAAATGAAATTCGAAAAAGAAAAAAATTACTTAAATAGTAAGTTATAATTAAAAATATAATATAAAGAATATTATATGAAAAAAAGGAACGATGGTGACTTTTTTCCCTCTTACGAGAAAGGAATCTTGGTTGCCATATGTTAAGAAGTTCGCCAAGTGAACTATTCTTGGCGCAAACTGAAAAAAAAGTGCCAACATAAATTTGTGAAATTCTCCGTAAATTTCGCTCCAAATTTTACAAACTTTCATGTGTAGGCGTAATTTGAGTAGTAGAATCGACATATGTAAAAAAATTGGTATGTTATTTCAGAAAAAGCCCGATTTTGTGTCAAAATAATTATGTTAGAATAGTGCTATATGTAAATCTAATATATATCCTAAGTCGCGCTTTCGAGACATGAAGAACGCAATTTGAATTTTGTCAATCGGCCCAGTAGAACGGGAGATATAGAACTCCCCCCCTTTTTTTTTAGCAGTGTGCACTGTGCACACACACACACACACACACAAAAAAAAAAAAAAAAAAAAAGAAAAGAAAGAATAAGAAGAAAAGGGGAAAAAGTGGGACAGTTTTGTATCTCCCGTTCTACCAGGATTTACGTTCTACTGGGCAGATTGACGAAATTCAGCTTGCGTTTTTCATGTCTCAAAAGCGTGACTTAGGATATATATTAGATATATATACAGCATAATTCTAACACAGGTATTTTGACATAAAATCGGACTTTTTCTGAAATGACATGGCAATTTTTTTTCCTTATTTCGATTCTACGACTCAAATTATGCCAAACTGCCAAATTTTGTAAAATTCACACGAGTAGTTTCTAAAAGCTTAACTCTCGAATTTTTAGCTCCTCAATGTTGATTGAATTTGATATATATTTATTAATATCTCTTTTTTTATTAAACTTATTTTATTGCTTCTTCCAGAATTCGAAATTTAGGCCTAATCAAATAAAATTCGCATATTGTTATAATTTATTTTTGAAATTTGTATTTTAAAATTTTTTTAATAAATTTTTCAAAAAAATTTTTGTATTTTAACCTATAAAATTTTTAACATCGCCTTCAAGTAGGTGTATTTCTAGGCAAACCTGCAAACTATTGGAGTTTTTATTCAAAATTTTATAAGATATACATGAATTTACATAGTGGAACGTTTTGAAATTTGGCATACATTTTTTAGCGATAATAACGCCAAATGTGCTTTACGCACTTTGTTAAAATTATTTGAAAGTATGACTGATGACGATTTTTCTGCTTGTTTATAATGAAGAAAGAAAAGGAAAATAGGTTATTAAATTAAGAAGTTCGCCAAGTAAATTATTCTTATTATTCCAACTATATTTTATACATAAGATTAATTAATGATTTGCAATATCAAAAACATTAACTTCTTCATTTTTAAGCTCTGATGTATTATTTGCTAATGAAATGCCAAATTATTTCATTAAATTTTAAAGAGAACTATACATTTTTCAAAAAGCAAAGATCCATAAATGCAATATAACACACGATTCCACAATTTTAATCACATACAAAGACTTCACTATTTCAGTTCCATGGACTCTTATGTACATGTATTGACAATTTTTAACAATTACTGACTCATTTAATATTAAGCTAGATGTATTATTAACTGTGTGTGATATGTATCAAGTGTGTCTAATTTTATCTATGTTTTTGCATTACAATTTTTTTTGAAGATTTTGGAAAATCTTCAAAAAGAAGGCATATCTGCATCATGTTATGCATGTTATTTGTCACATGAAAATGATGCAGATATACCTTTTCTGCATTAATTGTAATTGAATTGTGGGGGGGGGAGATCAGTTTACTGGTAAACATTTTAGGTTATTTTTTCATGATTTATTTGTAAACTAGTTTATTATTATCCTTATTATTACAATTAGTATTACAATCCTTAATTAAGACATATTGCCTTTGTAATGCTTTTCTAAATGTGAGTGATAAAGGTTTCTTTCTGTACTTTGAAAATGTTTAATGCATAAATATTTCTACCTAACCGATCATGAAAACTTTCAGAATCTTAAATATTCAAATGAAATGCTTTCCATGAATAGTATTTTGAATAAAATAAGTTAACTAAAAAAATAATAATAAGACAGACTGTGAGTAGTTATTATAACAATTGCTTAGAAATAAATAAATAAACAATAAAAGTTTATTATATATAAGTGTGTAATGAATTTGAGATTAGATAGTAATACACAATTTTGGGTCTTCTTTGTATGTGATTAAGAACTTTTTAATGTATGATTTATATTTGTTTGTCATGTTCTGGGATTCTTTGCATTAAATTCGTAATTTTATTCATCATGATCATAGAGGCTCTAAAATAAAGTTTTAGGAATTAAATTTCTTGTCATTTTTTAAGATGATAAGATTTTTATGCATTTGTGGAGTTTCAACAAAATGTGTATTTTCATTTGAGGAAATTTTTTAGAAGATTTTGACAAATGAAAATCTGAATGTATGATTATGAGTTCTACAATCTTGTGCAATAGAGGATTTATTTTGGAGTTTCTTTCAAATTCATAGCATTTGCAAATTATTAGCAAGCTTTAAAAGGAATACAAATTTCATGTCTCCAATGCAAAATTTTAAAGCTCACTAATTTGACCCATGTATTTTAATGCATAGTTGTAAAAAATGATAAAAATTCCTTAGGCATTTATATCTGGTATAACATTTTAAGGATTAAATTTTATATTTTTTTAAGAATAGAAGAAAAAATACATTTTAAAAGTTAAACATATTTAAAATGTGCAGTTTTATAACTGACTGGGAAAAAAAGATTTTAACCAAATTCTTATAGTCATTTGAAGAAAAATAACTTTCTTTTTATCAAAATTGCAAATTTAGCTGCTTAATCTGGGATATGCAGTGAGAAGTTGGTGCAACTAGCTCTGAAATAAATATAAGTTTTTAATTAAATGAGATTCAGATGAGGGGGGAGAATTCAGGGATGTAATCATGTTTACTGCCATTAAAGAGAGCAAAAGTTTTGAAATGTTATGAAATAGTGTAAAAAGTTAAAAGGAAAGTATTAACTGTTGGTCAATTAATTTGAAATTCAAGATTAATATATGTTAATATAATTGTATTTAACATCATTACTGACTAATGACTAAACAAGAAATGATTTTACTGTCCGACTTTTTCCAGGAGAAAGGAAAAGATATTGCTGAAAAAACTAATTAATTATTCTAATCAGTAAAACTGAGACTTCAGTTATTGAATATAAGAATTAACTTTTGTTTACTAAAACATTGTTAAAACTATAAGTATTTTTCTTTTGGTGCAGCTTAATTATTGTATATTCTCTTTGCCTTTAAATGCTTTCAGATTTCTCTATAACTGTTGAACTCTGCATTTGTGCTCATGAATGCTTCACTGCTGCATGTGATGTGGATGGTATTTCAAAAATTCTTCATAATTCTCAGATGTTAGTCAGTCTTTTAGAAGAGGCTGAGAAATTTGCAACAATGGTTAGCTGTATTCTTACATATTTTTTATGTTAAATTACTTATGTATTTTTGCTATTAGATGAATGATTTCTTAAGTATTTTAATATGCTTGCTGTTTACTAAGTAGCTGTGAAGGAAGCAGTTTAAAGTATTTTGTATTTAGCAACCATTAATCTTGAAAAATAGAGTTTACAAAGAATAACTTAGAATTGAAGATGCATTATTGGTATGAAAGAATTCAATCTTTCTTTCCCTGCCGTTTGGCATAGAAATGGCACTGCAAATGGGACAAAGTGTTTTTGTGGCTGAAAGAGTATGTATAGGTTAATTCAGAAAGGGCATAAAATATGAAGAAAAGGTTATGGATGTTACATGTTGGCAACACTGAAGACTGGATCATTATTTCATCAGGGTGTCTTTGGTTGACTGTTCTGCATCATCAAATATACTGTTAGAGCATTTGAAGATAGTAACACATTAGCTAATGCATCTGTCACAGTGTATCACTGTTTATTGTACAGCAGATTATGGCCATATTAGCCACTTTTCTGTTACATTTCACACACCAGCAGTTTACTGGCAGTTTGCAGTGATATATTGAATATCAAGCATGCTACAGTATCATCATCTTTGATGAATCATGGCTTTGTTTAGTGAAAATAACAGTCTCAAATGTATCCATGTGCCAATAAGTTTAGAGTACAGTAGAAATTCAGAAATCCGCAACACTTGGGACCAGAGGTAATGCGGATATTAGGATTTTGTGGATTTCAGGACAGAAAAGATAATATTCAGACTAAAAGTGCAAAATAAATAAGGCATATTAGATACATTAATTAAATTATTATATACATTAATACAATAATTAATTATATGAATTAAATTATTATTACATATATAAACTGATTATATTATATTGTTCACTTACATTAGGCTCCTCTATTTTTAAATCAGCATGAATCTGCTTCTCCTTTTCTCTCAGGAGTAGTCCTGAAATAGATACCCCATTACTCCGCCGCTGTCGGAACCACTCATACAAGACAGCATCAAGGTTTGCCAATTTCGCCGCATGTAAAGATTTCCTGTTTCGGATTCCGGTGTTAGAACTACTGTTGCTGTAAAATTTCAACAGTTTTACTTTATTGTTCTGTATATCATACACAGTCCCTGTGGCAATTCCATACGATTCTGCTATAAACCGAGCAGTAGAACCTGCCCCCATCTTTAGAAGGAATTTCCACTTTTTTCATTACTGTCAATGCAACGTGTTTACGTTTTTCAATGTTGCAAGCAGTAAAATCACGAGTGCGTTTCTTATCTGTCATTGTATTAAAAATATTCTTAATATATCCACAAAATATCCAGATAAAAAAAAACGACCTTACTAAACAAGGTCATGGATGTCAATAATTTGGTATTTCCGTTATGACTCATTATTATTCGTAATTATGATGTCATTATCCAGTAAGTATTTTTTCTTTGATATTTCGCACTCCATGTTGCGGTTTCCGGAACCTATAAACTAAACGTTTATATTTTGAGAGGCAACGTAGATTTCAGGAGTTGACGGGTTTCAGGTCGGCGGATTTTCGGTATTTGACTGTATTAATACGTGGCATATCACACCAACAAGGCATATTTTTGTATGAAGTGTTGTTGGATTTAACTGCAAATAAATTCTCACAAGTGCTGAAACCTCCATAGCAACTGATCAATATGCTAGTGACTTTCTACAAGCAGTCACATTTTCATACCCTATCTGTGGGGAGTAATTTTTCAGCAAAACACATTGTTGTGTAATGCAAATCAGTTCTTGTAAGTGCTGAAACCAACATAACAGCTGATCAGTTATGTCAGTGATTTTATACAAGCAGTCGCATTCCTATCCTCTATCTTTGGGGAGTAATTTTTCAGCAAAACACAATGTCAAGTAATTTTTCATATTCATACTATATTCATAGCAGCAACACAAACTCTTCAGAGTTAACAATGTTACACTTCTTCCTTGGCAACCTAGATCTCTTATCGAAGAAATGTAAGGCATGGTAAATGAAAGGAGATGCATAATAAGAGTCCTGCAGCAAATCTTAGAAATCTTCATGTGGTTTAATGCATCTTTTATGGCTGTTCCTGAAGATATCATTTAAAATGTTTTAATTCTGTGCTATAGCATATAGAGTGCATTGTGAGCCAGAAGCGAATGCAGAGAACTGTATTGACATAAATAATGTTTATTATTTTGAACTGTTAATAATGTGTTCTATGTTGTTTAGTTTATATATCCAGAGTCTGATAATTTCCTTAGTCCTTAATAAAGGCATGGCCTTAAGGGATCCCAAAATCATCCTATAATTCTTGCTTTTCTTGTAGGAAAATCAGGAAAGTGAACCAGGAGGCTTACAGAAAGAATATTGTGCCTGGTGCCTCTGACTTAATCAAGTCTTATATAAATCCTACAAAAATTAATATTCTATCTCTTTTTCAAAGTGTTCTGTTTTTAAGAACAGAATTTCAGACTTGGCTCCAGCATTTTGGAATTCTAAGTACAGTAATTTAATGTGAAATATGCTCTTATTTAGTTTTCACTAATGAAAACTACTTAACCGGCACCCTTGAGAATCTTAGGTAGTCTGTGCTGGATATGCTTAGAGCTGGTCTTAGTATAGTGTATGGTTTCTGTATCTTTAATTTTTGTGGAAACAAATTGCCATGCATTATTATTGAATGTAAAGTTTAAATCTATAAGAAGTTGCATAAACATTTTTTTATTTAATAATTTTAAATAATTTTAAAGGTCCATCTTTTGACTGGCTTGGGGAGATATAGTGAAATGATGTATGTGTTTGACACATTAAAGTCACATGATAAGCTCAGTCTTCTTTTTGAGAAGAATATGGAAGATGTAAGTATGCTAGAGCACTGTGTTTTTAATAATTTATAAGTCAATATGTAGATCTTGGTTTACATATGAATAATTTTTTAATTACCTAGACGGGACTTGTTTTCATGCATCTTCCTAAATATTAATGCCCCTCAAAAAAAAAAAAAAATAATAATATTAAAAAGCATGAAAAAATTTAATCCTTGTATTAGAAATGTATAATTTATATGTGCTTTCACATTCGAACTGATCCCTTCCCCCCCCCCATTTAGCAATTGCTTTAGCTTAGTCTGTGCGGTTTTTATGCTATGTTATACTATCAGGATATTAGTCATCTGTACAACCTAGCAAATATTGTCATCCCATGGATTATAAAATCTCCTTTTACTATTCACACTATCTGGCAAATGGCAGTTCTGAGAAAAGTTGCCATTTGGTATTCCTTAAGAATTTGAATTTATTTTTCACATTAAAACAAATTGTTTAAGTAACTGCATAATTTAAAAAAAATAGTACATACCTCTTAATAATTTGTAATTTTACTTTATTTTTAATAACATCTCTGATTGATGTAATTTAGAATACATCTATTATTTATAATTTATAAATATATAAAACTGTTAACTTTTACAAACATTTTTGCCGTTATTGTCGGCAACAGAAAATGTTTTCTGTTGCTGAAAATAACAGCAAAAATGTTTTTAGTACCATGTTCGGTATGCCTGAAGGCAAAATAATTGTTGATACATTTCCTAACAATGAATAATATGCACAAAATGTTAAATCCTTTAAAATTGAAATTCCTTCATTATAGTTAAATAGTTATAAATAATTGTTTTGTTTTATGAAGATTAAATTATTAATTTTATTGTGATTAAATTATTAATTTTATTCTTTATTTTTTATTGTGATAAAAATTATGGAAAAAAATCTTCTAAGATGTTTAAATTAACTAAAATGAATTTTCTGATTACATGAGTGTAATTTGCCAACATTGCAAATATTTAATAATTTATCTCATTCTCTCATAATTAATTTTTCACAGCAAAAAATAAGTCTAAAGTATAATTTTCATTAACATAACCAAATTATTTTTAATGGGCAACTGTGAAATTCACTTATCAATGTTTGCCATTTTTTTTAACTAGAAACTAATTATGAATGTTAATTTTAATATAGGTACCTAATCTACGATTAGCTTTACTAGATTACCTGAAGAGATGCTCTCCTGCAGACAGTGACAGTTTGTTTTATGCTGTTGCAAGTGGTTTTGGCATGTATAGGGAAAAGGCTGAAATTCTGGAAATGTCCGTGCAGAAACAACTGTCACAACTGTGCAAAAAAAACATAGGTGAGTTACATAGAATTTGGAAGTGAATTTTTATTTGTTTTCCCCTCTTCTTTGTACATAAACTCATTTTCATTATATATATAAAGCAGTAACACATTGTCTTTGGTCAGAAAGATAATATGTAAATTTGTAAACTGGAAATATTTTGTTTTAGCATACTGTAAAGACACAGATATTAGATACCCAACTACTTTAGTGTTATTTTTAGATTTTGTTATTGTTGAAAGTATACCAATATTTTTTTTAACAACAGCTTATTTAACATAAAATATATTAGTGTGTAACAAGTTATAGAAATCAATCATTTGAAAGTTTGGAAAAAGGAATCAGACTCCTTTTTCCAAAAAAAGTTAGTTATATGGGCCTGTTTACTGTATAAATTCAGTTTAGTATCAAAAGCTGCTTAAAAAGTATCCCCATAATAGGAGATATGGCAGTGATCAAACCACGTGGTCAAAAATAGTCCCAAATGTTTGGAGATGGGGTTACTTTTTAAAGTAGTAGCTTTTGATGCCAGAGTGAATTTATGTATGTAGATAGGTAGATTATTTTATGTAAACACACATACACACACATAAATATTCAAAATTTATTGTATACCTATTATTAAATAATAATGTATTTTTAAATTGTAAATTTAATGAATTATTCTTTATTGCATAATATGTTAAAACACCATTTTTGCATGCAAGAAAAATTAGAAAATTTATAATTATTAATACTACATATGTAGAATTATTTGATTCATCTTAATGTCATAAAGTCTCAGTATTACAGGCCTTTTCCCCATAGTAGTTCCATGATAGCTATTGTTTTACTGAGATTTCCTGTTACAGAGATTAAAGGAGAAATATGCATAATTAATTATAAACTAAAGCAAATTATGTAATAAATCACTGTTTGTTTTGTTAAAGCTAAAATTTAAGAATTTTTGAATTAGTAATCATCAAATGTATTTTAATTTATTGCAATTTTATTGCCATGTAATGAGTTTGATATAGTGTCAATTAGATATACTTTTAATGTATAAATTATTCACTGTTGTAGGAAAATAATTAAAAAGCTTATCATAATTGAAAAAAAATCTGTTTCTTTTTCATATCATATCTTTAAAAGAAGAACTGCTGTGTCATGAAAAATTTTGAACCTATGCTATTCATATCATTAATTAAGTTAAATTGTATTAATTACCTGTTTTTAAAATTCATTTATTCATATTATTTAAATTTTTAGATGCTGATTTAAGTGATGAATTAGAAAATGCTTTGCAAGTTCTGTCAGAAGCAGCAAAAAGTTATTGCAAGGTAAATTTCTGTCAATATCCATTAAAATTGTTAATCCGACTTTTGTAATCAGTTGTGTTAAAAACTTTTTTCATATATTTAATCTTTGAACTAATGAAAAGATATTTTGTACATATTTCAGCAGTTGTCATTAAAATATATCAATTTTTGTTATGGTATTGCTTATTTTTCAATTTATTAAAAATTCGATAAAAATTTTTACATTATTCCATTGTTTTGGCATTTTCTTTCTGTCTAGGAATTGAATGTTATGTGCAAATATACATATTTTAGTAAGAATTTTCTGTTTCATATTTTAATTGTAAATTTTAGAAATATTTATTGTTTGGTTTTGCATCTTACATATATTAAATTCTTCTTATTTTGATGAAGATTAGTATTATTATCAGAACTTACTTGGAATATCATTATTTTTTTAAATAGTAAAATTATTTTTGTAATATTTAATTTTAATTTGTTTTTTACTAGTATAAGCTGATATATATAAATACTCATAAAAATATGTCAATTTATGTTTATTTGTCGATATAATTGTCTGTTTTGACTTAAATGCCTTAAGGTTGTTGCGGTAAAAAATTATTATTATTACATATTTGTGTTGTCCCTCTTTATTTGCATATTTTAATAATGAACCAAGTCTTGCATTTTTCAACGCTTAACTTTTTTTTGGGGGGGGAACAAATAAAAAATGCTATGATCCTGTAGAAATTTATAATAATATCATAGAGCAACTCTTGAAGCTTATAAAAACAATGATCAAAAGAAGCATTGAAATTGAGTTTTTGCACTCTGCTGAGGAGAAATGTTGGAACTTTGATCATTTTTGTCATTGTTGAGAGCATTTTTGTTATCTCGTGCTAAACATAATAAGATGCTATCATAATAATGTTACAAAGTGTACAGGTGCAGTGAGATAGCTTCCCGGTAAAGCAGTTTTAGGGTTACTATAAAATAGCAAGGAAGGCAGGGCTGCCACATTTGGCGATAAATCACCCATTTGGCGACAAAATTGGCGATATGCCCTGGACGGATGGAGAACCATCTGGAACGAATTTTTACTGGTTTAGCCCAGAATGTTCTCGAACACAAGCTGAAAGCTATATAAACCCTGCTGGTTCGCAGTCAGTGTGTGTTTGTGCCTCGTCTAGAGTGCGAGTTAGTTAGTATCGAGTTGGTGTCTTGTCTAGCAAGTCAATCCCTGCGGAGTCGATCGAGTTGACAGCCGGGCAGAGAGTGCCAAGTGGGTCGTCGAGTTCACCGGAAGAGTCTCTTAGTGTATCATGGTTAGTGCATTGTCGAGAGAGCGTGTTGAGCTCCGGGAACGACTGAACCAAAGAGTCGGGAGCCGTGCTCTGTGTGTTGTCGAGTGCATCACGAGTTGAAGCGTGAAGAGTCTTGAGAGTAAGTGGAGTTCCGAGAACGACCGAGCAGAGTCGGGAGCTCTTCTCTGGTGCTTTGCAGTGAAGCTGTCTCCACCATGATAGCCTGATAACCTGAAGGCTGTGTCGCTGATCGTGTCAGCGTGTTTATAGTTCATCAATGACCTGTAAAACGTGTTTTGGAGCTGCTCTGACAATACTGGCAAATAAAGTGTGTTTTGATACTTCATCAAGTGTCGTCGTTATTCTCTCCAAATCCACACAAACCCCGTACAAACGTGAAGGAAGAAAATAACGTAACAACTGATGTCAGAAGAATTAGAAAAAAACGCAACAAGTGGTGTCAGAAATGTAAATTGAGGGTGAGTGCCAGCGACAAGACCAATGGAAGATCTATTAAGACAGCTCGTGACTGCCTTTGCTGAATTCCAAGAAAGGATGGAAGCCAGACAGGAGAAGTTGAAAGCCGGATATGATGAGTTAAAAGCTGGATATAAAGAGATAGCAGCTGAGATCAAGCCCGACTGGAAGAGAAGAAAACCTGACAAGAAGAAATAAATGTCGGCCAAGAAAAGGTGCAAGAGCAACTCCGACAGGTGAAAGGGGAGCTTACAGAAGAAACTAGAGCCATAAAAGACGATGTGGAAATGAGAGAAGTGGCATCTGAAGAATCAAAGGATGAAGAAATGAAGGAAGTAGCTAATGAACTGCCTGAGAAAGATCAAGACATGATGGATGAAACAGCTAACGGGATTAAAGAAAAACAATGAAAAGATGAAGAAATAAAAGACGGGAAAGAAGCTTTTGATTCATAAGTGCCTGAAGTGGAAGAAAGTGAAAATGTGACTTAAGTTCATCAAAAATGAGAGAGAGGTTACGAAATCGCAGTTATCAAGTATTGAACCATCTGAAAGTTCATGTGATGCAGAGATGAAGGAAGCCTATGTGCAGCTTAAGCTGTATGCTCCAGTATTGCAAGAAAATTCACCAAACTTGCAAAATATGTGTGCATCTCATAGTTCAGATTTTACAGAGAAGCACTTGATTCTAAACCAGGATACTTGCGTTTGTAAAGTATCGGGCTCCATTCATGATTCTGATGCAGAATTTGGAGCTGGTTCCCAGGAAATGGAGGAAAATCAGCATGTACCAATTCTTAAAAATATTGAGGTGAACTGTATGCATGCTGCAAATGACCTACAGAGTGGTAAATAAACTGTTTTAGATCTTCCTGTAGATTAAAAGTCTGAAAGGACTGAATTTTCAGACTGTGACATGAAAAACAGAAATGCATCTGAGAACTGCAGTGGAAAAGTATTTGACCCGGGTATAAATAATGAAAAGACTGAGACTGAAATTCAATCTTAACTTTAATTTGTATAATTTAAAATTGTGATGTGTTTAATTTGTGTATGTAACTTGTACATAGTGTAAATATCTGTTTCTTTAGTTATGTTATTTATTTATACCTTATGTTTGTTTCATTACGTTTTGTTTGTATTGAATAAGGCTTCTGATCAAGGGTTGTACTGCCCGGGACATGCAGTCCTTGGGAGGGGGCAGTGTTACAAAATGTACAGGCACGGTGAGATAGCTTCCTCGCAAAGCAGTTTTAGGGTTGCCATAAAATAGCAAGGAAGACATGGCTGCCACATTTGGCAACAAAATTTGTGATATGCCATGGATGGATGGAGAACCTTCTGGAATGAATTCTTACCGGTTTAGCCCAGAATGTTCTCGAACACAAGCCAAAAGCTATATAAACCCTGCTGATTCGCAGTCAGTGTGTGTGTGCCTCGTCTAGAGTGCGAGTTAGTTAGTATCGAGTGGATCCCTGCAGTGTTGATCGAGTTGACAGCCGGGCAAGCGAGTGCCGAGTAGGTCTTCGAGTTCACCGAAGGAGTCTCTTAGTGTATCGCAGTTAGTGCATCATGGAGAGAGCGTGTTGAGCTCTGGGAATGACTGAACCGAAGAGTCGGGAGCCGTGCTCTGTGTGTCGTCGAGTGCATCGCGAGTTGTAACGTCTCGAGAGTAAGTGGAGTTCCGAGAATACCGAGCAAAGTCGGGAGCTGTACTCTGGTGCTTTGCAGTAAAGCTGCCTCCACCGTGATAGCCTGATAACCTGAAGGCTGTGTCGCTGATCGTGTCAGCATGTTTATAGTAGTTCGTTGACGACTGTAAAACGTGTTTTGGAGCTGTCCTAACAATACTGGCAAATAAATTGTGTTTCGATACTTCATCAAGTGCCGTTGTTATTCACTCCAAATCCACACAAAAATAATGTAACAACTGGTGTCAGAAGGATTAGAAAAAAATGCAACAATAAGATGGAAGTTGTTGAGATTACTTTTGTCATCTCAGCATAGTGTTGTCAGATTTAAACTTCTGATTGATCACAAAAATTTTCAGTCTTATCTACTCTGTAAAATTTTTGCTTATTTGTATGAATGCATTTTGGTTACCACTGTAGACTAATCATTTAGACATATCTAGCATTTAATAACTACAGTAAAGGTATACATCTGCCATTTGATAAGACAACAGAATTTAAATCCTATTTACAGATAACAAAATTTAAATCCTGTTTACATTTCTTTAGTTGTATTTCAGCGTAGTCTCTTAATGAAAAGATAATAATTTAATCAAATACAGTTACAAATTTCACATCATTCTGTACTGCATGGTATATTTTTGTGGTTGTTTGTGACTTGAATATAGTTTTTATGCTGTTGAAACCTACATTTTTTAACTAAAAAATATAAATATTAAATAGCAACAAGTAATATGTTATATTTATTTCTAAAAAGAATTTAGGAACTGATGAGAAAATGCAATTTTTATCACTTATGCATTTCAGCGCATAGTGATTTACATGTGTGATTTTAGTTAACCTGTTAGTTATTTCTGCTTTGCTGCATTAGCAATTTTCTGAGATAGTTGAAGAGAAATTTTGTGAACTAAGCTGTTACAAAGTATTATCCTGTTATGTTGTCATAATGTAAATCATTAAGCTTGTTGCTCTAACCCAGTGGTTTCCCAATCTGTGCTTCATAGAGCGCTAAGGGCTCCATGTGCACTTCTCACAGGCTCTGCAACTGCTGTAGGAAAATGAAATGAATAAAACTGATGAAATTAAAAAATAATAAATAAAATGCAAAATCAATATAAAAAGCTAAATTACATTCTGAACAGGAATTTTGCAAGTTTAATTTCGCATCTCCTCTGCGGCGTGATGTAAAATCACATTTCTCGATGTAATCACATCGGTGGCCATTATTGCCTGTTGCATGATAATTCCTGGTCGAAGTTTTAATCCTTTTATTTTGACTTATAGGATTATTTCTTATGGAAGCTTTGAAAGACTCAGTTCAATAATATTTTTAGCTGTTCAAGAGAAGATGCTTTATGATTTCAAATGGGTTCTAAATATGTTCATTGTGAACAATAATTCAGTTTAAACTCTGTATAATATGAGGTGCAATCTAACAGGAAACTAAAAATTGCATTTCAAAATGTTATTTTTAGTTCAAAATCAAGTTTGCCAGAGGTTTTTCTGCATTTGCAAGAATTCGAAATCTTGTTTGAGAAAGAAAAATTAGTATTGCTACTTTTCTCAACTAC